TCCTTGTGTGGCAGGTACGGAGTTTCAAGCAGAACGCCGGAAATCAAGACAGCTTCATCAAGCTGATAGCGTAACTCCATTTGTGTCGGTAAGCGGAGGGTGGCTACCATGGGGGTAAATTGGGAGCGGGCGACTGTGCTGCCATGCACCGACAACCAACCGCATTCTTACTTTCCTTTTCTTCTCTCCTTGGTCGAGTCCTATTCGAGACACTTTTTACAGTTGTGCCAGAGGCTTAGTGCCTTGTTCCGTGGAAGGATGATGCTCTGGCTGGGCAGCCCTATTAGGTGTGGGTGGTGCCCTCCTAACGAGGATTCTGAAATAAAACCGACTTTGGGGCTGTATTGCGTCCAGGATTTGGGTTGTCGGACAGGCGCTTATTGTCAGCCGGCTTGGGAATACGAATACGGTTAAAAATAACAATGCCGAAATGCATGCATTATTCCGTATTTTGACTTTGGGGCTGAATGTGCGTCTAAGACTACAGCACAGTTTTCACAATTACAACCTCAACGACATGAAAATTCAGGTTTTCAGTGTTCTTGTCCGACCAGTCCATAGCTTCATCGCTTACCGCCTCCGGTCTGTTTACGCCCGGTGCTAGTTTCTGTGTGTTCTTGTGTTTTTGTGGTATAGCCCCAAAGCCCCTGCTTGGCAGAATGTGGCTGCCAAAAAGCAGCTCAGCAAAAGTCTGGACGCGCGAAACCCAAGATTTATGAACATTTGTGCAAGGCCACTACGGAACGCATCAATAACACCAATAACGCAGTGTAGCATTGTAGAAGTGCAGCAACGTAGCAATGCGCTCGAACTCTTCGAGAGTAGCTGGTTACACTGTGCTGATATTTTGCTTGCAGATTTCCCAGGTACACTCAATTTAGAGCGATAAGCGCACTGTAGTCAGAATGTTCTTTTCTCTTGACTCCTTCATCCCATGACCCACCAAATGGATAATAGACAAAGGTGACTGTGCACCTGGTTTCTTTCTCTGAGGCTACATGAACATGTGAATTTACGCACGAAAATGGCGTAATATTACTTCATTTATTTTTACAAGTGCTCCAACATCAGCATCTGCGTTCTGAGTGCCTAAAGCGTCAGCAGCAGAAGCTCTTAGTAGGCTTTGCAGTGATGGGATCTGCCCCATTTGCCCCATAATCATTTCTCCATCAAGACGTCTTGCAAATCCAGTAAACGTATGTAGCCCCAAACCGTGAAGATGCATTATTTTGTCCCAGTATCATTTACCTTTATTGGATGCGTCGTGCAAATGTTGGAATCACAAAGATGCTTGCGGATTGTAAAGAAAACAGAACCGCGCCACGACTCCTTGTTTTAAACAGCCAGTTGTGGCGATAAACAGTTGGATGTTCTGCCCAGGGAGGAACAGGTGCACCTTGTGGGCGTTTTCCTTTCATGGTATCCCTTCGCAACAGACTCAATGAGCACAAGTGCGGTGGCATTCTTGTGGACCAACACTGGGTGCTGACTGCGGCACACTGCATTGACCCCAATGACCCAATCACTGCTGGACCAACTCCCATTATTGTCGTGGGAGCTTGCAGTCTAGACGACACAACAAACGCCAATGTTGAAGTTGAGGTGGGGTCACCATCATCATCAATATGCATGGATTACATTTGTCACAAGATGACAAAACACAGCCCGTGCACCTGGTTGGTAAAGTCATGAATAGTACTAATTTTGCTGATTTCTAGAAAAGACAAAAAGGTTACCTCATTAGTATATCCTTATTGTCGATCTTCGTTTCGAATACATCTCAGGATCGCTGCAGGCTACAACCCATAGTCGCACCTTTCTGAGTGGGTATAATGCTTAGCAATTTATCATACATTCATTTGCCGCAAATACGTCACACTATCAATGACAATGCTGAGTCAAACTATCCGCTGAAGGTTCTATCCGTGCACACAGACAGAGGTTGCCCGCTTTTGAGCACCTCAAACCAGTATCTATCATCCCGCAGGACGCTCAAATTGACAGAATCGAGTCTGCTCATGAAAATTCGAAGCAACGCTTAATGTACTATTTCCCCTTTTCGAGCTGTCGACATGAATTTCCAATCTCTGTTGCCGCAGGTACGGTCGTCTAAACAGACCGTCATCCACCCAGACTACATAAGCGGTTCGGTTGTGAATGGCTCGGACATCGCACTGCTGATGCTGAACAAGGAATCTGAAAACGCATTTGCTCTTCTCCCCACGGACATAGACACCGCTGTGTCTGGAAACCAAATGGTGGTGGCTCTGGGCTGGGGGGAACAGGAGGCTGGAAGCACCCGAGGGCCAGAGGACTTGCAGATGTCCACTGAAATCGAAGTCGTTCCAAACAGGTTTTGCAACTCAGATGCCGGGTGGAATGGCATCATACGTGATACCATGCTGTGCGCAACGGGCACAAGGAATAATCAGGACGTCTGCAGAGGTACGCATGTGAAAGATAAAATGCGATACCTGGACAGGGAGAAGAGATGACAGTGTGTGGCTGTCTTTCAATTTCTAGGAGACTGGCATGCTCTTCCAATAAGATTCCCGATATTCCCGATATATTCCCGATAAGCTGTGAACAAATCGGACAATTTCAACACCTGCAAGTCATTGGGCAGTGTTCATACCACCTGTAGAATGGGAGAGACGCAAACAAGAACGTAGTGAACATAGAACGCAATGTGGGAACATCCATGAATAGCAACATCCGGGTCCGCTTCAACATCAATAGAGCCGTTGAACGCCCAACGTGTAATAGTAACACGCTTGTATGCATTTTCCCCCTGGCGATCGCGTCTGACAAAAGTTTGGCACATCGTACAAAAAGTGTGTCGCATGTTTGTCTATGGATCAGCAAACAACCATTGTTTTAGTGATTGGGCTGATTTTTTAAAGGCAAGTGACCATATGCCTAATGCTATCATATCATTGGCGAATTGACGCAATTTCAGTACCTTGATGCCCGAGACAGAAACAAATGGAGAAAAGCTTTCTTTCCGCAGGTGACAGCGGCGGTCCCCTGCTCGATGCCTTCTCTCCGCAAGGGAACATTGAAGGCGGAAACCCCGAGCTGGATGTCGTGGTGGGAATAACCTCATTTGGCGATAGGGCAGACTGTGGGAACTCGACGAGGCCCAGTGTCTTCACCCGGGTTGCCAGCTTTCGCAGTTGGATCGATGACGTAATTTCGGTGAGTGACTGGTCAAGAAACTGATCAAAACGACATAGAAAGGACAAGTGACCTTATGTATGGTATGACGCCGTGTCAACAAATGGCGCAGCGCCCTTATATGACTATCGTTTGCTAATTACCGTTCTTGCGCTTGAAAACTGTGTGCATGCGGAACAATGCAGGGATCAAATGAGTAACTGTGTTCATTGCTTAAGTAATATGAATATGGGTGAACTTTTAGCGATTGGGTGCTAGAGATAGAAGTTCTGCAGAACTTCCACAGCTATGGATGATCCATTTTCTTCTCCAGTGCGAACCGCCCTAGTGACGCAAAAGCATTTGGCGATGGTGAAGTAGATTTTGAGAAGCAATACTTGAAGAAACACTGCGCTGTAGCAATTTGATGGATGGAGCGTTCTCATAACTGCTAGTCCGATGGAAAGGGGTGCTATGTCACCGGAATTATATTCGTGGTAATAGTTAGTGAGCGATTTGCTGGACCAATCCCCGCAACCTTCTTTACAAATGGGTCGATCAATAAAATCATTGAAAAAGGTACTTTTTTACGTGCTTCAGGACACATATCACCTTGTACATCTCAGCATAATGTGCTGCAGTTTGCGAATGCTTGATAATTGGTCGTCAGAATAGGATGCCCCACCAATGAGATTTTTTGTGCTAGTGTCTGGCAAACGTCAAGCTTGCCCTGGCTGGATCTGTACCATCATTTGTACACATATTGACAGCAATACATCGAATCACTGTGACCTTTGGGTTCATAATAAACTGCTTGTAAACAGTCATGAACGTAAGAATGAAATCAGGGCTGGACGCGCATCCAAATATTGACACCTGCATACGTAAGCAATATTCTTGCATATTCGTGCATAGGCAATTGTTATTAGGCGCATGCACTCGCCTGATATTCGTCATTCGTGTCTTAGGTGAAGCTGCCGTCTATGGCACCAGCTCCGATGACTTCATCACCAGCCCTCGTACGATCAGAAGAGCAGCTCAACTTGGTGGGTCCATGGAACGGCTCTCAGTATTGCGATTGCCTGCATGAACATTCCATATGACGGCATGTACCGTCGATAGAACAGTCGCCACATGCCGAATTTAGCACACCATCTTGGTGTAGTGTGTGTTTAAGTTCACTACCAAGCTACTCCAAGCACGGCAACATAGAATTCTCTATATTGCAACATAGAGCCCTTAGTTGAAATAGTCACGCAAACATCTACAAAGCTGCCAGGTGTGGAGGCAATGATTTTGCAAAAATTGGTAGCCGCTACCAATTGGTGGCGCCTTGCAATCTTGTGGTCAGCAAACTGTGGATGTCCTTCATGTTATCTCCTGCCAGTAGGGCCCAAAAGAACTGCATCAGTACCTACGAAAACGCAAGCGAATTTGGGATATCAACATGCGATATTTGTGGCACAATATTTTCCCCACCTGATACCAGCTTATCAGAACTTTTGAATAAAAACATTTCAACGAACAGGCGCTGTCAGCTACCAATATGTCAATTGTTCGAAGGCTTGGATAGCGGCAAGCTCTTCGAATTTGGAGGGAAATTGCAGATTCTCGATCCCAGGATTGAACACCTGCAGATCCTTTGGAGGGAGTTTGGGGATTTCCCAATTCTGGCTGACAATCATCCTTTTCGCTCCTTTCATGCTTAAACCGTTCAGGACTACTGAATCTTTCTTCTGGGGCATGCTCGGAGTGCGGGACGAAATCGCGCAATCGTTACGATTTGGGGGACATTATTTTACCAGCAGATCTGCCATAAGGATCGATTTGATGATGGTTTGCAGGACCTGATGCGGCTTGCCAGAAGAGCAGAAGAGCCCTCGGCAAATGCCACTGTCCACCAGCTGCTTAGTCAAGGTGCGGACCCAAACGCCTGCTGCCTTCCAACCGAGCCCGGCCAGGGATGCCCTGTCCTCCACGCTACTGCGGACATAAACAACAACGCCATTGTTGCGACCGCTTTGCTGGAAGCGGGAGCGGAGGTGGGAGCGACTTGCAGAGAGAATTGGACGGCGTTGCACATTGCATCCGGCAGCAACGCCGAGAAAGTGGGACTCGTTCTACTCAACTTCGGGGCGAGCGTCTCTGACAGGACCAATCTTGAAGAGACACCGCTCCATTGGGCCGCAGACCGGGGCAATCTGGGTACATTGAGGTTGCTTATTGACTTTGGTGCTGACGTGGATGCTGGGAAGCATGACGGCTTTACGCCTCTGCATCTGGCGGCGTTTAGAGGCTTTGCGAGTGTGGCAGAGCTGCTTGTGGAACGTGGGGCAGATATTCTGGTGACGAACAATGATGGAAAAACGCCAGGTGAAATCATTTGCAAAGATGCACTAGGCTGCCAGGAACCCACCAGAGAAGCGCTGACGAATTTGTTATTGTGAAGTGGCCCATGTACTCTATTTCCATATCGTTCATTGTCGATGCAAGCCGGTAGGAATATGATCATATCATTTCAAGAAACTAGCTCTCGGAGGATAGCTGTTTTTCAAGAGAAAAGCATAGTTGCAAAAGAGCATAACATTATTGCTCAGCATAACTGGTCATTGTTAGCACCACCTTATGTTGTGCGATTGGCCTACAAAGGTATAATAGTGGCTTAATAAGAAGCCTGATTAATGATGACAACAAATGTTTGTTGTTCTTGTTTCTAATGGAGTTTGGCCAATAGTTTCATCACTTAGTGGAAGCAAGCTATGTAAACAATTGTTGAACATGGACGGTTGCGATATACCAAAGGATATTTAGTTGTAAAGTTATAGAAGTTTCCATGCAAGCTATTGATGGTTTGGGCCCTATTCTTAGCTTATATTGATTTCAGCTACTAGGATGTGCACCCCTCTTCCCTTTCTCTTTGGGATTTTTTATATCACTATCAATAAAAAGTCACATATCCTGGATATCGAATAGGATATGGACTCCACATCCTTCGTATATATATCCAAGATGTGCCATATCCTAGTACGAGACTCTTCCATATCCAGGATATGAATCCTCCATATCTTGGAATGCAAGGATATGGTCAAGAATATGGTTAAATCCTTGGAAACGGGTACCATGCCATGGGATATGGGCCATATCATATGGCCATATCTTGATGTTTGTATTGAAGATGCATAGCTTTTTGCCAAAGATCTTTCCATAGTATAGCACATAGTCCCGCACACATTTTCTTGGAGGGGTGCCCTTTGTATGACACATTTCTTGTCAGAGTGTAGTCAACTTAAGCACCCCAACCCCCTACATCGTTTGATGTTCATCATGCTGGAATCAACTTTAAAGTGCAGCCCCTAATATGCACTGTCATGACATTATCATATCGAATAGACTGGATAGATAGCCTATTTGTAAGGGGATATCGTTGCCTTGGATCTACCTATGAATTTGTTGCCTCCACACAGGCTTGGTTTAATGCTCGGCTTTACCATATAAAACCTAAAAACATTTACGTTTTTACCAATCAAAATAGTTTGTACGTTTTGGCACATAAAGACACGTAAAAATACATGAATTCAATGTAAATACGGGCTTGTGAACATAAGGACAGTAGATACAAAGTTGGGGAGTCCGGGGAGTGGTAATCATACGCGCTAAAATGGGTAGAAAATGCACTTTTGTTCCACGTGGAACGCCTTTGTTGCTCTTGCCGAGGACGAGGTGGGCACTATGTTGCATACGCTAAAAATGGCAGAGGACTGGCCATTGTATGCAACATTCATCGTGTAACCTATCTGTCTCAACTAGCTGTAAAAATATAAAATTGACCAAAAAACTAGCGCTTTTGCAAATTTTACGTTTTTGCTCATGAAAACGTAAATATAAAAATACAAAATTGTAAATGTAAAAATTAAGCCTGCCTCCATATCATTCCTAGAGGCCCAAAACCCAGCGGCTCTGTTACGAATAGGATGTGGGTGTGGGGTTCCTGCCCTCTTTGAGCCGCGGACCCGCCTCGCCGGGCACCTAGGTCCTTACAGGGCACCTAGGCGGGACCACCCCTCCTACTCCCGTATCCTAATATGGATAAAGGTTACAGTGGGTGAGGAATAGTACGTGCCTTGGGCAGGGCGTCCCCCACACCAAGGGCCATTAGTAGGACGTCTCCCACATCAGGCTGGTGCGCGTAACATTCGTCCCCCTCAGGGAGAGGGGCGTCCTCGTCCCAGTATAAGTGAATACGGGAGCAGAAACATTGTATGTATGTTGGTGGAACTGGCTGTGCGATTTGCCACATGCCCAGTTAACAAAACACAACACACAAAACAGTTTTGGATGAAGAGAAAGAGTGGTTGTTTTACATGACCGTCCCGGCCTTCACAACCCTCATTAAAACTCTTCCTCAGCCAAGTGGCTGGAAATGTTTGACCTCCCGGCCTTTCATCGGCGACCACGATGCCGAGTACCACCAGCAGCCCACGCCGGTACAGATCGGCCCGGTGCGGCACCCCGCCGTCACCCACGTCCGCGTGCACGCTCAGGCGCACGGGGAAATGGCACGTAGGGGTCGGCGGTCTCCAACCTCTCCCCGTTGAGGATCGCAACGGACATGGCGTTCATGTGTCCAAACTGCGACCTTGCACGGGGGGCAGTATACCCAGTGTTTTTCTGGGCCCAGCGCAAGAGAACCTGTCAAAAGCATAAGCACACATGAGCATGTTTCAGTATGTACATCCCGTACTTCATGCAGTTTGCATTCGCATCACAGGTGTTCTGCCATTTTCAAATGCTTGAACCAATTCCTGTGCATTTGCAACTGACTTTGCTGATTCCCAGCTGTTATGCTCATGTCCATATCCCAGCCATTTGACAAGGTACTCAACATAGTTTTTGCGTCTCCCACGCTTTTTAATCCTTTTATCAAGGATACGTTCAACTTCATACTCCAGTTCACCTTCGATCTCGATAGGTACTGGGGGTGGCTGTACTCTGCCACTTGCCTTATAAGGCTTAATCTTCGATACATGAAATATTGGATGTATCCTATGCATGCTTTCCGGGAGTTCTAGTCGATATGCGACAGAACCTATCCGGTCGAGGATGGTGAAGGGCCCAATCCACCTCGGTAATAGTTTTCGAGTTCCAGGGTGTTTGAGAGTAATATGCTGTGTCGAAAGGAGGACGTCATCTCCTTTACTAAACGACACCTCTCTTCGATGGCGGTCAGCATGCTTTGACTGCCTATCTCGTGCTTTCTCTAAGCACGCCCTGGCCTCTTTCAGCGCTGATTGGACACGGTGATCAAATCGTGTCACTGCTGGTAATCCCTCCACGAGGGGTGTACCAGACTGCCTCAAATAAGGCTGCTGCGCCCTTTCAATGGCTACTGCCAAGCCGCGGGCATTCGGATTGTCATAGCCCTTTAAAGGCTTCCGAATTTGCACACCAAGAGCTAAGGGACTCTTTGGGTGCCTCCCGTAATTCAGATAGAACGGGGTTTCTTGGGTGGAACTGTTTTTCGAGTTGTTCATTGCAAACTCGGCCATGGCTAACAGTTCATCCCACGCGTCATGGTCAGAACGCGTATAACTGCGTAAGTAATCCTCCAGAACCCGATTCATGACTTCGGTCTGGCCATCCGTCTGTGGATGGTACGCAGTGCTCATGTTGAGCTGGATCTTCCACCTCTCGGCCAGGTACCGGTAAAACCTGGAAGTGAACCGAACGTCTCTGTCGGACACTATCTGAGAGGGGAGGCCGTGGTGCCTTATCACATTCTGCACCAACAGGTCAGCTGCTCCTTCTGCGGAGAGCTCGGTGGTCGTAGCTGCAAGGCGGACCATTTTGGTCAGTCTATCGACGAACACGACGATAGCATCATGACCTCCCTTAGTTTTTGGCGGTTGTGTAATGAAGTCCATGGACAACTCTGTCCATGGCTCCTCAGGAATGCCCAGTGGCTGTAATAAGCCTGGGGTCTTATGACGAGGGTACTTAACCTGTTGACAAACCAGGCAAGTATCGACGTACTGGTGTACTTCTCGTCGCATTCCTGGCCACCAGTAATGCCGCTGGACCAAGTCCAGGGTCTTGGCTTGACCAAAGTGCCCAGCACTTGGATGGTCATGAGCCAACTGGCAGATCTCAGTCCGCAGACTGGGAGACTCAGGGATATACACCTGAGTGCCTCGCAGCCACAACCCGTCTGTACAGCGCATATCTTGCTGCTGTCTAACAGACGCAAGCTGGGGATCCTCGCCATAGGCCTGACGGATCCTGGAGGCTAGATCTTTGGCCTCTACCGTTTCAGTTGCCTCTTTTTGGCTGCCCCGCTTATGCTTTACTCTTAAGCCACATACAACTAGTTGACTTTTCCTCTTAGCCTCCTGCTCATCGGGCGATGGAGGAATGCGAGAGAGTGGATCAGCCACATTCTTTCGCCCTGGGCGGTATTCCCAGTCAAAGTCAAACTGTTGTAAGATTTCTGACCACCTGGCCTGTCTGCGGCTCAGTTGTGGTTGTGACTTAAGGTAGGTCAACGGACAGTGGTCCGTTACCAGTTTGAAGCATGTTCCTTCAAGGTAACATCTCCACAACTGGACAGCATGGACCGAAGCTAAAGCTTCCTGGTCTGTCACGCTGTAGTTCAACTCCGCTGGGAGGAACTTTCGACTCGCATAACAAATAGGGTGATTGTCCTGCATCAGGACCGCCCCCACAGCAGTTTGTGAGGCATCGGCGATGACCTCAAATGGTCTCTCAGGATCTGGCATTTTGAGCAAAGGAGCCGTGGTCAAACACTCCTTGATGTGCTCAAATGTTGACTGACATTTCGACGTCCACTCCCACTTGCCATTCTGTTTGGTCAAGTCTGTCAAGGGAGTCGCCATTTTCGAATAGCCCTGAATGAACTTTCGAAAGTAATTTGCCAGTCCGAGGAACTGCTGTACGTGCTTCACGCACTGAGGTACAGGCCAGTTCTTCACCTTTTCAATCCCTTCGGGATCTGGGCGAATTCCTTCTTGAGACACGATGTGTCCCAGGTAGGAGATCTCCTCCTTATTGAACTGACACTTGTGCATTCGACAGTATAACTTTTGCTGTCGTAACACTTCTAACACCTGCCGAAGGTGTTGTATGTGTTCCTCAGCAGTTCGGCTAAACACCAAAATATCGTCCAGGTAAACTAGGACGTGTTTGCCAAGTTGATCACCAAATATATGGTGCATCGTCTGCTGGAATATCGCAGGGGCATTCGCAAGTCCAAAGGGAAGTACTTTGAACTCGTACAAGCCCAATGGCGTAACAAACGCCGTTTTGGCACAATCTGCCTTATCGATCCGTAATTGGTAGTACCCTTGCTGCAAGTCAATAGCCGAGAACACCTTGGCTCCTTGCAGTTGATCCAATAGGGTATCTATTCTCGGGATCGGCCACTTATTCTTGA